CGCCAATTATGGTGAATGTCCCCTTGACATTCGCCAATTGGTCGATTGGCGAATGTCTCGTGGCGAATGTCTCATTGACATTCGCCAACTTTTTTGGACATTCGCCTATTGGCGAATGTCTACTGGCAAACATTGGCGAAAGTTGAATTGGCGAACTGCGACACATCCGTATAAAAAGAATCAAAGCATCGCATTGTTTTGTTCAGTTTTGTCTAAAAGATTTGTTTTTTCAGTTCTTTTTTTGTCAAATTGAATTGAAGAATATTTTCTTTCCTGTACTTCTGCAATGCTCGTTGGTTATGTTAATAACTAAGATATGGTTTGCTGTTACCGTTGATTAATGTATCTCACATGATATTTAGAATATCGAAAAAGAGAAATTAGTATATATCTATATAAATATATGGATGAATTGCAAAATTATTGTACCATTCTATGAAAAAAATGATCGAAAAATTTTTCGATTTTAATAACAATGATTAGTGCATTCTATAGTACTACGTGATGGGTGAATATAAATAAATTTTCTCGACTACTACTATTAAACTGGCTGAGATACGAGAATTTTTTAAAAATATTGTTTAAATATAAAGGCAAATGAATTTGATAGTACACTCAACAATTGAATTTTTCGACGACGTTTTGGATCTTAACATTGAGCCTTTTCATTGTAACAAAGAACCATGCGCGACGTCGAGTTAGCGACTGAAAAAAGCATGATGTGCCCTAAATTAGACTTGGTTTTTACACTTATACAGCAATAGAATTTGCATATGTGCAATCAACTAGAGAATGTATACAATTAGTCATAATTCAGGGTTAATTCGCATGTCTTTTGATAACCCCTTAAATACTGAATTAAGTAATATATATAATGTGTATATTTTGACTTTTCTCCTGAAGTCGCTATGCCCATAATAATCTCGTGTGACACATTAACACTAATTGTCTTTTTTCTCATGAACTATAAGTTTTCTGAGGCTGATATTTTTAGTGGTAGTTGGCCACAATGTGCGGAGAAAATGACCAAAATTTCATCTCACGCTATTGTACCTGAAGAGGGTTATGTGCCAAACAATGTAAAAAATCTCGTGTGACATTTAGCGTGACAACCCACTTTTCAAGGTGGTATCTCATATTTTTTATTAACAAGAGTTAGTGCAATTTTTTCATCGTCCGTGACAGCTGGATTTCCCATTAATTGACTTTCAGTCAACACCAATCCGAGCGATTTTAAATGAGTTGTTAAGTAACAAAGTCGTATTTTCATCTCGTGTGACATCAAGTCGTAGAACTGTACATCTGATATTCAGAAAAAAGTATAATACGAACCACGATAAAAGAACCAATCAATATCATATCCGAAAAGTATAGACTGTACTAAAAGTTTGCAAACTTCTGAAGTTCAACTAAGAAGGGAACCAATATGACTCTTTTTCACTATAGGTGGCAGTCAAAATCGATCTATTATATGTTGCGCATCAAATATCTCTAGATTAGTTCCAGATAAATTTGTAATTTTTTGTGTGACAGTGAGGACTTCGTAGAGGAACCTAACCTGAAAACATCATAGAGATTGATTAACCCTTTACCCCCCATTGGCCACTCCAACGACCATTGGAAGAACGGTTGCTATTAATTTAAGGAATCATCTGATTAAAAGGCTATGAGAACGGTTTTTGTAGTAAATTTCATGGGCTATCAACTGATGAAAAAAAGCACTTTTCTCACTGGATTTCTTCGGAGATATATGCCTCTCAAGGTGCAGGATTTCTAAGAAGACCGAAAATAGGTGATCATACAGAGAAAAAAATTTGCCCACTTGTGAGTAATAGATCTTTTGGCGATCTGTTAAGTGATACATATGGACAAAGGTATCACCTAGCGATATACTCAGTTTCAGAATTTTCAAAGCAGTTTAGGAGATCAAGGTATGATGGAATAGACAAGGGTCTATTGAACACTCGTACCATGGCACCTCTCTTGGTTTGAAAATATTCATGAATCAATGGAACAATTTTCTCAATTTTACAGAACTATAGAGCAAACATTTTTCTATCGAATGAAACATTCCCGAGGTCTCTACGATATTCCGTCACTGAGATACATTAGTTTTGCTGAATGCTCCAGAAAATTGGGCAAAATATTCCCCCTACTCGCCCTCAGGGAAATTCGAAAAATTCATGGAAGAGTTTTAAAGATTTGTTTATACTTTTGGTATATTGGAGGCACCAATAATCCATTTCAAGGGTGATTTAATTGCTGATGTCGCTGGAACTGCTGAGGGGGGGGGGTAAAGGGTTAAGAAAAACTCGAGATATTGAAATTTTACATATAAGAATATAACGGTACAATAATTTTGCAATTCACCCATATATATATATATGTAGAAGACAAGGTAGTCCTCATCCTATGGATTCGCTGACCCTTTTCTGAAAGAAATATTGCACTGCTACGTTTAAGTAGAGTTTCAGTAAGTTCATCCTAGATATTTCAACCCATGATTCCAAACTAGGCATATGACAGTTCAAGTTCAACAGTTCGTGTGAACTGAATCGAAAAACTGGGTTCCCGGTTCAAGCTCAAATGAACTGAACTGGTCATCAGCTCCAGTTCACATGAACTGAACCGGTGGCCATCTCCACTTCACATTCCAACTCCAAAAACTAGATCGGTTCGATTCGGTTCGGTTTGCAAAAAATAGATGTCACTCCGAACTGGCATAGTTTAATTTTTTTATGATTGGATTACGCATGAACAAGTTGTTGGACTGTTTTTGGTCTACCAGCTCGAGTAGTAGGTGATACTTATCAAATTATCCCCAAGTTTGCATCATGTAAATCATGTTTCCAAACATATTCCTATTCTTCTACCACATCCACTTTATCCAATCATAAATGCTCATCTTTAACAGAAAAAGATCAATCAAAGATTCAGGTGAAAGTAGTTTCGAAATCGTCAAATTCTTCAACAAAAAGTCATGCAAACAGTCCAACACGTCCACCAAATAACAGGCTTCTAGAAACACACAAACAACGTGTTACCGCTGCAATGAGTGATTGGGTGTGTATGAATGTTCCTCCTATCAGTATAGTCGAAGATATTGGATTAAAGAATCTGATTGATGAATGTATCCAAATAGATATGATTTGTTTATATTTTACATCGATCTCTATTATTCTTTTCGCTTCTCTAGGTTTTATATGTGGTCCAGTATCCGCTGATTCAGTTTTATATTGTCGCAAGACAATTTCAAAAGAAATCAAACAAACAGCTAGTAGTCGTCGGAACGAAATGAAAGAGATATTGATCACAGCTGCTCGACAACGTCGCCTTATACTGTCACCTGATCTTTGGTCTGATGAATATAAAAAAACATCTTATTTAGGTTGCATGGCGCATTGGGTCGATCATTTATGGGCGTTTAAATCTTTTGAATTGTTTTGTTTACCATATAGACAATCAAATAAAAAAGCTCCAAGTGTACTGAAAGTAATTTTTCATTCATTTAGTTGATATTAATTCTATGCATTTCATAATTTAATAGGCATTAGAAGAAGGTTTATCTCTTTACGATTTAAATCCATTCATGTTCGATATTATTTGGGTTTGCGATGGTGGAAGTAATTTGCTAAAAGCTTTAGAGAAATTTACTGTTGTTCGTTGCATCGCTCATTGATTGAACAATTGTCTGCAATCCATTTTTTTTCAAACAGAGATAATGAAAGTAAAAAAACATATATTATTTCCCGATCATTTTAAAGAAAATTCGGATGGTGAAGATGAGATTGGTAGTGGTACCGATGATGAAACAAACGATGGTGTCGTTGCGGATGATCAGACAAATGATAAACAAAAGCCATCTGTCAAATCCACATCAACAAAATAGAATAGAAATAAAATTCTTTCTATTATCGCACAGATACCATCCGATGCGAAACGAATTTTGATTACTATTATTGAATGTAAAGAACTTGTTCGGCATGTGAAAAGGATAATTTTAGTATTCGGTAGTGTTTGCTGCTTAATCTGACCATTTAGAGTATCTAGATAATTTTTTCAAAAGGCCTCACGGTTTCCTTTTTTAACAGATGAATCTGAACCAAGAACTTGAAAATCGAAAAGCTCTCGTACTTTTACAATGCACAATAGTACGATGATTATCGCTTATAAACTGTTTACAGAGTGTGCATAAATCTTTAGTTGTACTTGGAGAAATTCTAATGTATTCAACGACAAAAAACTGAACAAAAAAAAAATCAGTCAAATAACTTCAATTACATTAGGAAAAATTGATTTTTTAAAACCCTGGGAATATGTTATGATGCGAGTGCAATCGTCCAAAATACCATCAATACATACAGTAACACCAAGTATATGCTTCATTAATTCTTCATTGGAAAATAAACTTCTCGATGGAAAACAAGACAAAGGTATCTGCTTGAAGCGTATTTTTGATACTATTATGCTTAAATATTGTTTTACACAGGTTCTTCATATTTTTGTACAAGAGCGAAACAAATCATGAAAGAAAAAATTCAATTTGATCCTATTCAACTTACGGGAACATTTTTTAATCCTAAAACACGAAGGATGAAACATTTATCTACTAGACAAAGAGATGAATGTATTGTGTATGTGAAGCAGGAAATGTTGCTATTTGATATTGATGATTGTGTAACACCACGTACTCCCCAAAAAACATCTTGACCATCAACAATTTCTTCCGACAAATATATGAATGAATTTTATTTGAATGCAGAAGATGACGATGAAGATGAATCGGATCGAGATACTACTTTACGTTCATCCTCACATGCATTGGAAATTGAACTTTACATCAACCAAGGATCAGACAAATCTACAAAAGCAACTGATGGTGTCGAAGAAGAAGAATATAATCCATTATCATTCTGGGGAAAAATGCATTCTACTTATCCAGTTTTGTCAAAGGTAGCTACTCGTGTGCTTGCTGTGCCAGCTGCAAGTGCGGCCGTGGAAAGAGAGTACAGTCATCCTGGTAATATCATCACACAAAAACGGTCCAAACTATCTCCTGATGCTGTCAATGAAATAGTTTTCAATAATTCTTATAAGAAATATCATGGGAAACGTGATCATACAGAGGAAGGTAAAACACGCTAGTCTAACGTTGTTTATTTATAACGATTGTAAAAATATTTTCTTCATTTAATATAAATATGTAATAGAGATTTATATGTATATATATATATATATATATAATATATATATACATATAAATATATATAATTCGGCTTCCTTGATGTGTGGTTCCAGTATAGCGATAAATAAAGCATTTGGTGGAAAGAGAAAAGAACTGAACTTTGTTGTCCAGGCACCTGAAATATTAACAACTACAAGACAATCAGTGATATGAGGTGTGGCAATCTAAGCAGTACCCTGAAGCTGACATAATGTGGAAACGTTCGATTTTATTTCTTTAGCTGCTTACGAAATACTTACGAGTGACATATTCAGAATCAGCGTGAAATTCTGCAACGAGGCATATGGCACCTTGCAAAAAACCTTTTCAATTTTTCGGAAAATTTCCAGCCTCTATCCCACCTTTGGAACATCGAAAAACGTTTTTACTGAGAAGTTTTCTACAGATACTTTATTCGATGTAGAATTTGATGCTGATCGTGGATATCAGGCCAAAACTGGAAAACAGTTCAGTTTTGATAAAAGAAAATCGATTTTACTGCCAGGTGGCGTGAGCGACCTGATTCATTAAAAACAGGTTTTTTCCCGTTGGATTTGGTATGGAAACCACTAAAACCACCTAGAAATACTTAAAAATGTCCCAGCTTTCCGATACGGAACAGAAATCGGCTTCGAACTACTGTTTTCAGGTCCAAAAAGCCACTTGAGGTCGAAAATTCGTGAAAAACCTGTTATTCAGCCTCGTCATTTGACTTTTCCGTCAATGGGAAAAGGGGTAACATTACCAGAATAACATAGATGCATGCAGTTTTCAATGCTCTATATAACGATGGTAAAATGTGTTTCCAAAGTTTAGCCATTTTGGGCAAATCCGGTTTTTTCCAACTAAGGTTTTCCAGAAAACCTTACACGCTCCGGTTTTGTTGTTATTGACTTGTTTTGCATCGAAGTCCGCACAGTGGGCATTTTTTGCTAGAGCAAGCGGACTTTAGCTTTATGAGCGAACTAAAATTTCTTGAACCATTTTTTTTATAGGTTTTTCATGATCCTCTTTCTAATGGCATA